AGAAGGGATTAATGAGTATGGGAGAACTGACGTGATTTGTGTCATGAGAGAACAAATGAAGGAGAGACAGGAAGCTAGAAAGAAAACAGAGGAAGAAACCATCCTGAGTTGGTCACATGTGTCTCTAATACCAGCACCAAGGTGGGAGCAGGAAGACTAAAATTTTCAGACCAGCCTGGGCTAAAGAGTGAAAATTTGTGAAAAATCTAAGAGCCTGGTGACCGTGTGTGTGTGTGTGTGTGTGTGTGTGTGTGTGTGTGTGTGTGTGTGTGTGTGTGTGTATTCCCAGAACTTGGAAAATGAAGTGTATGCGGGGGAATGGTCTTAGCTTGGGACACATAAGACCCCATTTCAAAGGGATAAAAATAATTAAAAAAACAGAATGAAAGAATCAAAAGGAATCAAAGGAAAGAGGCAAAACTGAAGAAAAAGTGAGACAATGAATGACAGAAGAACATAAAAGGTGGCAAGCCATGGGACAAAGGAACAGGGCCCATGGGGGTGGGGGAGGACACTAAGGATGGGAAGAAGAGATCCGGGAAAACAGAAAGGTAGACTAAATTACAGACTGGGTTTCCAATTGTGGTGTGTTAAAATACCTAGTGGGATTCTTCACATCTGAACCTTTAGCTGAGAAACTTCAGCTTTATTGACCTGAGAATTGTTGATGTAGCCCACCATGGCCTCAAATACACTGCCATGGCCCTGTTGCAGCTTACTGATGGTGGTATTATATGAAGAATTTTGCAAAGTAGTACCACCTGAGCTTAGTTCAAGTCTCTTCCAGCTCTCGGCACGCATAAGGTGACGCCCACATGCAGGCAGACATACTGTACAGTTGCTTAGATATGTCTTGGGAGTGGCAATGCTTTCATTAGTTTTTACTTACATGGGCAGGACAGTTGAAAACCCACGAGAAGTGGCATTTCATACAATACGACAGTGTTGATGGAATCCATATTTTCAGGGTGACAACAAATGGTGACACATGAACAGGAAAACAGGTTCTTTGTACCATTCAGACTACTTAATGAACCTGGTCTTTAGAATGACACTCTTTTCTCCAGTTGAATTATTTCCTGTCACTGTTACTTATTGTCACTATGCATGTCCTTAAAAGTATCAGTCAATCTATCAGTTCAGGGCCACACCTGTATTCCAAGTGTTTGGAAGGCTGAGGCAGGCAGATCTCCTGAGTTTTATAGGGAATTCCACACCACCCTGAGATACATAAGGCAACACCATTTCACTCAAACACAATTAAGCAGGTAAGGTTATAATAATAAAAATCTCATAAAATAAAAGTTGCATCAGAAAATATCAACTCTTCTAAGAATGACAGCCTTCCATGGGGTTTCTGTAAAGAGCTACTTTTATGAACAGGAGGGAGGCTGACAGAGAGGGACTAAAGGTGCAGACGAAGACCTGAAGAAGACCGTGTGAGCCTTGTCAAAAACCAACACACTACACAACAAAACAAAACAAAAAGAAAATAGAAAGTCTTTCAACACAGATTGTCATGGCTTACTAACTGTGGAGTGAGAACTAAGGGCTGGAATGGCCAAAGAGAAACAGGCCAAAGGAGTTTGATTTTCCTCCCTGTCAACAACTAGCAGACATTCTTGTACTTCATGGATGATCACAGGTCAACAACATGGACATGGACTTCTAAGTTGTTTAACATGTGTGTCAACTCCAGTTGTTAAATCAAACCAGAAAAGCGTAAATGTTGAGGGAAAGAAATATGGTTTTTATTTTTGCAAACAGCAGTGAAAACTATCTTTTAAAAGGCAAACTAGAAACAACTAAAATCATCAACCAAATACTCTTACAGTCATTGCTTTGTTTCAGATAAGATTGCACCAGGTAGCTCAGGCTAGCCCCCTACTCATGATCCTCCTGCCTCAGCCTCATGAGTTTTGGGATGACAGATAGGCACTGTCACTCCCTACTCTGTTTATTTCTTAATAATGTCCAAAGATTGTCTTATCAGGGAAATTAATTTCAAATACATTTATTTTCCACAGAGTCCATTGAAGAGCAGGCTGGCCATCAGCTCACTTTGTAGCCAAGGATGACTGTGAACTTCTTTAGATCTTTTTGTAAGTGTTGGGATTATAGACATGGACTACAATATCAGGTTTATATAGTGATGGGCTTCAGGGCATATTAGACAAACACTCCACCAATTGAGCTATAGTCTCAGTCCCCACATTTACTCTTTTTTTTTCTGCCAATAATACACAGTATTCCCAGGAGGTCTCCCATCCAAGTACTAACAGGCCTGACCCTGCTTAGCTTCTGAGATCAGACAAGATTTGGTGCGTTCAGCATGGTATGGCCATAGATTGCATATTCATTCTTTATGTTTGATTTTAATAGATGCCCTGCTGAGATAGATACACATTGAATTTAGCACTACTCTGACTAGTGCTAGAACGAGGAACTGCCTAGAAAAGCTGCTGACTGGGCCATGTTACCTTGTTAGATATTGTTGCCCAGCTTGCTAATTCCTGTTCTTTTGGTGAGAAACCAGTGGCCAATTTAGTGGGTCTAGTTGTCCAAGACAAGGACTTGCCTGTGTTCTGATGCCTGTCTCAAGCCTGACTGCAGTGTTGCCATGAATGAGGCATGTAGCAGGATAAAGAGTTTGCTTTCACACTGTAGCATGAATAATAAGATTCAGAGATAGATATTGGGGTTCAAGTTGAAGATCAGAAAAGCAAAGCAGCCAAGCCACTAGCTCTTATGTCTACCTCAGACCAAAATGGGTGATCCTGAAAATCCCCAGAGTGCAAATCTTTCCCTGTGTGGAAACTAAATCTCATATGAAACTCTTTGCACCTTTTATTCCTTCCTTATTCTGGGATTAAAGGCATGAGCTCTGTTTCTCTTTTAGACTGATTCACTCTCATGTAGCACAGAGATCCGGGCATCTCTGTCTTCTGAGTCCTGGGATTAAAGGCATGTATCACCTAGCTAGTATGACTCCTGGGATTAAAGGTGTGTGTCACTACTGCCTGGTTCTGTGGCTGTGGGTAACTTTCATTTTGAAACCAGTGGCTTTATTAGGTCATAAATAATATATCATCACATCACACAAAGTGTGAAACAGGCTGCAGAGTCCCACCTGGGATTAGCTGTGTGGTTTGCTCAAATGCTTCTCAAAGATCCCAGTTTTCTTTTGACAAAATGGGGACATGGGAATGATTTTCAGAGTGGTTAGGAGCAGAGAACTACAATAATATGGAAAGTCCCTGACACATAAAAGGAACTTAGATGGTAGAGTTAATAGTTGCTGACTTTAATTTAGGAGAAGGCAGTTCTTGACCTACATGTTCAAAGGAGGTATAATTATTTTTTAAATCAAATTATGGCACTAACACTTGTATTCCCTATCCAGGGAGTGTCTATGTTACTCCTTTGAAAACAGAATCACTAAGACACTTGGGGAACACTGCTCTGGAGTTTAATGGCTTAACTGAAGCCTGCCATCATTTTTGAAAATGGATAATGAGGCTTTCTCCCTCCCCACCTTAAGTTCCAGGGGAGAAGTCATTCGTTGCATATCTAATCTGTTATGAAGAAAACTGTAAATGATAAAAATAAATGTACAAATAATTTATTTATTTAATGATAAGAAGGGCTCCTGGGAAGTACAGGTGTGTAGGCAGTTTTTCGTATAGACTGCCAATCTATACTATAAATGTTTGACCGATAGCTTAGATTGTTTTTTGCTAGCTCTTATAACTTAGATTAATTTACGTGCTACCCCAAGGCTCCTGATTTTTACTTCTCCCACAGGTTCTGGTTCCTTTCCATCTAGGTGGCGACTCTTCTGACTCCACCCTCCTCCTTCCCAGCATTTTCTCTGCCGAGCCAGCAGCTATTCGGCTTTTTATTAACAATGAGAGCAATATGTATATACAATGTGGAAATTCCTGTGCACATGTACAAAGATTGTTCTATAGCATAGGTGAAACGGCTTTGTCCTTACAGGAACAAGAAAGTCAAGCAGAAGCAATGAAAGTTGACTCCACACCTGCTTCCCACTCCAAAGCAGCCCAATTTAGAAGATGTCATTTAAGCTAGTCGTTTGTGCCATGAATGAGTGTAATTCTAATGATGAGCGGAGTCTACAGCTTTCAGTAAGCACCTCCCTAGAGGTCTGAAGGAGCAGCCAATGATGCTCTAGTCTTACTTTCCAGCTTTCAGATGGCTTTTCTCTGGAGCTTTAGTTTTGCAACTTCGTTTTCACTTTTGTTAAAGCAAGGTCAGCCAAATCAGTTGTCGTGCAGAGAGTAGTGTTTGAATTTCAGGGCTTATAAATTAATGGCTAAATATACACATGGAAAGACATGAAGAGTTGCTTTCATCCATGGGAGGAGCTTTATGCAAAAGATAATTTTTTTGCATAAGTCTTTAACTTATGAAAAAAACAAATTTAAGGATTTTTATCAGAAATACATATAAATCACACAGACTTAACTGTTAAGTTATTTTCAGGTTTGGTTAGAAGGAAAACAAATGACTATTTACTTAAATTCTGATGTAAGTTACAAACTTCCTGAGTCAGTTTGGCAGCAAATCGCCTGGACTCTGGTGCCTTCCTTGATCTGTCTCTAAAATATGGAGCTCAGAGAAGGTCAATGAGTTCATGCTTCCAAAGTACTTCAAGGTCTCCTTACACTGCTACTGTGTGAGTGGTACAATTTTGAAAAGATATTTTAATCTTTCCTTTGTTCAAGGGCGCTAGAACACTTCTTTGGAAGAAACAAACAATTAAACCAGCATGTTAATATGTCCATGTATAATTGGAAATAAAGCAATAACACACTCACTACACTAACAGTTTCAAACCCACAGCACGACACAATTTCTTAGCTCCGTGTAGAGGTCTATAGAGGAGACAAGTCTTGTTCCTATCTTTACAAAGCTAAAGGGAGTTATCACCCTGATAGTTGTAAAAGACATGACAAACAAGAAAAGCCATCTCTTACCTGTTATTAGCAAGGTGGAGCATACAGCTGCTTGAAGCAATTTATAGGCCATGATTCTGTTTTAGAAAGAAAAAGGTGTATTTATTTTAGTCTAGCCCAGATAAAGCTTTAGGGTATACTAGATAGTTTTTTTCCAGGTGTATAAAGCATTTACTGTGTACCTGGATGTATGAAAGACGTCAGGGAGGGGCCTCTGCATGACATAGCATTTTTATATACCTCCTTCCTTTTTACCTTTGGACTTTTTTAACTGACTTTATAGGCTGTACTTACGTAAGCCTTTTTTTATTTATTTACTGATTTAATCATCCACATGCATTTACATAATATATCAAAAAAAGATAGGAAACTAAGATCACTCATCCACTCTTAGTGGAAACACTTTAAAAAGTACAATTATGTCAGAAAACATAGTATGGCAATTCCTTAAAAGTCACACCACATAGTAAACATTCAACACAACGATTTCATGACTGGACATGTATCTCGGAGATAAACACTCAAGCCTACAATGCTTTGCTAGTAAGACACAAAGCCATGAAACAGAACAGATGCTATTCAATACTGAATGTTAAGTTATAGTACATACATATCTTGGATTTCTACCACCAGTAAAAAGTATAATTTGTAGATACAGCAACTGAGTGAAATACAGGGAATTCAGTGGCAGTGAAATGGTTATATTCTTTATGGTTCATTTGTTTAATCTTCTTGAATAAGACAAAATTATGGATATTCAGGATGGAATAATGGTTTTGAGAGATTAGGGATGAAGAGGGAGAAAGTGGCTAATGTGGATTACAAATGGGAAATGCGTTGGTAGATCTCTGTATCTGGACTGTGGTGAGGACATGAACATAAAAATGTGATCAAGTTAAAGGGAATGGACTATTCACCACACAAATGGGTCCATTCAGAACCATCGAGATCTGTGAGATAACAGATTAAACACATGTTAACACCCTTCTCTGTGTTAGACTGAACTCTACTTTTGCAAGATGCTCCTATGGGAGGAAGCTTGGTAAAGGGCACATGGGGCCTCTTTGTGTTATTTCTTATGAGTGTGTGCAAATCTACACATCTCAAAATAAACCTTAATTAAGAACAAAGTGTCTGACTGCACTGTAATATCTGTTTACAATGAAAGAATGCAGGAGTTAAACCAGCACCCCACTTTCATGTCTCCAACAATTGTTTTTCCCCTGGTGTGATGAACAGTTAGCTAAGTGAATTCATCAATGGATACAATTTGTTCTGAATGGCAAATCGTACATCTGTTACCCAGTCTCACCAAGAGCTGCAATCTGGAATATGAATAAAGATGCAATAGTGGTGAAAACACCTCTTTGATGGCCATCTGGATTGGGCACGGTATTTAAATACCTGGATCTCTGGCTGGGATTGTGTCACCATGAAGTTGTGAATAAAAGGCTTGGAAGAACTAGATTTGAAAACAGTCATGGTGACTTTGGTCCCAGGTGTGCGTCTACACCACACTTCCCAGGGGTCCATCATCTACACCACACTTCCCAGGTGTGCGTCTACACCACACTTCCCAGGGGTCCATCATCTACACCACACTTCCCAGGTGTGCGTCTACAGCACACTTCCCAGGTGTCCATCTACACCACAGTTCCCAGGTGTCCATCTACAGCACACTTCCCAGGTGTCCGTCTACACCACACTTCCCAGGTGTGTATCTACACCACACTTCCCAGGTGTGTATCTACACCACACTTCCCAGGTGTGTATCTACACCACACTTCCCAGGTGTCCATCATCTACACCACACTTCCCAGGGGTCCGTCTACACCACACTTCCCAGGTGTGCGTCTACACCACACTTCCCAGGTGTCTGTCTACACCACACTTCCCAGGTGTGTATCTACACCACACTTCCCAGGGGTCCATCATCTACACCACACTTCCCAGGTGTGTATCTACACCACACTTCCCAGGTGTCCGTCTACATCACACTTCCCAGGTGTGCGTCTACACCACACTTACCAGGTGTGCGTCTACACCACACTTCCCAGGTGTGCGTCTACACCACACTTCCCAGGTGTGTATCTACACCACACTTCCCAGGTGTCCATCTACACCACACTTCCCAGGTGTGCATCTACACCACACTTCCCAGGTGTACATCTACACCACACTTCCCAGGGGTCCATCTACACCACACTTCCCAGGTGTGTGTCTACACCACACTTCCCAGGTGTCCATCTACACCACACTTCCCAGGTGTACGTCTACACCACACTTCCCAGGGATCCATCTACACCACACTTCCCAGGTGTGTATCTACACCACACTTCCCAGGTGTGTATCTACACCACACTTCCCAGGTGTGTATCTACACCACACTTCCCAGGTGTGCGTCTACACCACACTTCCCAGGGGTCCATCTACACCACACTTCCCAGGTGTGTATCTACACCACACTTCCCAGGTGTGTATCTACACCACACTTCCCAGGTGTGTATGTACACCACACTTCCCAGGGGTCCATCTACACCACACTTCCCAGGGGTCCATCTACACCACACTTCCCAGGTGTGTATCTACACCACACTTCCCAGGTGTGTATCTACACCACACTTCCCAGGTGTGTATCTACACCACACTTTCCAGGTGTGCGTCTACACCACACTTCCCAGGTGTCCATCTACACCACACTTTCCAGGTGTCCGTCTACACCACACTTCCCAGGTGTGCGTCTACACCACACTTCCCAGGTGTGCGTCTACACCACACTTCCCAGGGGTCCATCTACACCACACTTCCCAGGTGTCCATCTACACCACACTTTCCAGGTGTCCGTCTACACCACACTTCCCAGGTGTCCGTCTACACCACACTTCCCAGGTGTGTATCTACACCACACTTCCCAGGTGTGTATCTACACCACACTTCCCAGGGGTCCGTCTACACCACACTTCCCAGGTGTGCATCTACACCACACTTCCCAGGTGTGCGTCTACACCACACTTCCCAGGTGTGCGTCTACACCACACTTCCCAGGGGTCCATCTACACCACACTTCCCAGGGGTCCATCTGCACCACACTTCCCAGGTGTGTATCTACACCACACTTCCCAGGTGTACATCTACACCACACTTTCCAGGGATCCATCTACATCACACTTCCCAGGTGTGTATCTACACCACACTTCCCAGGTGTGTATCTACACCACACTTCCCAGGGATCCATCTACATCACACTTCCCAGGTGTGTATCTACACCACACTTCCCAGGTGTCCATCTACAGCACACTTCCCAGGTGTGCGTCTACACCACACTTCCCAGGGGTGCATCTACACCACACTTCCCAGGTGTGTATCTACACCACACTTCCCAGGGGTCCATCTACACCACACTTCCCAGGGGTCCATCTGTACCACACTTCCCAGGTGTTTATCTACACCACACTTCCCAGGTGTGTATCTACACCACACTTCCCAGGTGTGTATCTACACCACACTTCCCAGGTGCCCATCTACACCACACTTCCCAGGTGTGTATCTACACCACACTTCCCAGGTGTCCATCTACACCACACTTCCCAGGTGTGTATCTACACCACACTTCCCAGGTGTGCGTCTACACCACACTTCCCAGGTGTGCGTCTACACCACACTTCCCAGGTGTGTATCTACACCACACTTTCCAGGGGTCCATCATCTACACCACACTTCCCAGGTGTGCGTCTACACCACACTTCCCAGGGGTCCATCTACACCACACTTCCCAGGTGTGTATCTACACCACACTTCCCAGGTGTCCATCTACAGCACACTTCCCAGGTGTGCGTCTACACCACACTTCCCAGGGGTGCATCTACACCACACTTCCCAGGTGTGTATCTACACCACACTTCCCAGGGGTCCATCTACACCACACTTCCCAGGTGTGCATCTACACCACACTTCCCAGGGGTCCATCTACACCACACTTCCCTGGTGTGTATCTACACCACACTTCCCAGGGGTCCATCTACACCACACTTCCCAGGTGTGTATCTACACCACACTTCCCAGGTGTGCATCTACACCACACTTCCCAGGTGTGCGTCTACACCACACTTCCCAGGTGTCCATCGGCACCATACTTCCCAGGTGTCCATCTACACCACACTTCCCAGGTGTGTATCTACACCACACTTCCCAGGGGTCCATCTGTACCACACTTCCCAGGTGTTTATCTACACCACACTTCCCAGGTGTGTATCTACACCACACTTCCCAGGTGTGTATCTACACCACACTTCCCAGGTGTGTATCTACACCACACTTCCCAGGGGTCCATCATCTACACCACACTTCCCAGGTGTGTATCTACACCACACTTCCCAGGTGTGTATCTACACCACACTTCCCAGGGGTCCATCTACACCACACTTCCCAGGTGTCCATCTGCACCACACTTCCCAGGTTCCCATCTACACCACACTTCCCAAGGGTCCATTTATACCACACTTCCTAGGCATCTTCTCTACCTTCACAACTCTATTGGCCTTCTTTGCCTTGTTTGACTCCAAGGAGAGGTAAGATTCTTAGTTGTGTGCTGTATTCTGGAATCTTGGGAAAATACTTAACAATAAAGTTATAGAATGAAAAAAAATACAAGAACCCTCCTACCAATTTCATATTTTTTCCATTTATGAATCAAAAAAAGGCTTTTGTAGAAGAGAAATGGGGTAGGGTTGTTTTGCCTCTTATATTATTCTCACATAACAAATTGCTATTCATCTCTGTTGGGTGGAATGTAGAAAATCCTAAGTACATCATCCTGCTACAGAAGAGTGAACTTAGGCTCATAGACATTTCCATGCTCATCCACGAAGTGTCCAGGAATTCAGGATGAATCTCCACAGAGCACCTAGTGCGCACATGGATATAATAGAGAACCCTTCATGGACCAGTGTGGTGATATCTTATTTGTACTCTAACACATAAAGCTTGCTTGAAGATCAGAGGGAGGAGGTAGCCACTAGTTAACCATAGAGGTCTGGAGGTCTGTACAGACAGACAAAAAGTTACATGGCTGGGCAGAGAGAGGAATGAATATAAGTTGGGAGGATAAGGGAGCTCGGTCTCTTTTCTGTCTGAGGATTTCATAGAGGTAAGAACTCTGGTGGCTGGCTGCTCTGCTTCTCTGATTTTTCAGCTTTCACTCCCTAATAT